GCTCGAAATAAAATCCACTGCTCCTGAATCCTAGGCTGAAGTTTTAGTTACTAGGACACATACAGCAGCAGGAGCAGCTTTTAGCTATTCTTTGGCAATCATTTAGGACTCACCAATCTCCAAGAAGAGCTTGACATTGATTTAAGCTGTAGCCTAGCTTCCTCCTTTGCTCAGCACAGTCTTCTAGGGCCCGATTGAGAATAGAAACCAGCCTGAAAATTACATCATAGTCATATTTTCCTTTAATGCTACTACTGCTTCAGAAACTCCACTCCCTTGCTGCCCTGCACACTGCCCCATCAATGGAGCTGAATTTTAACCCACCAGTTGCACCCCAGATTAGATGTCTAGGGAAGACATCCAAGAACCTCACAGCACTTTATAAACACAAATTCAACCTCACAGGCAACATAGGATTAAGTGGCCTGACCAAGGTGCCATATAAGTAGTGGAAGGGAGTCCAGGCTCCCCACCCCCTACCACAATCCCCACTCCCAGCATTGCTTCTAGGGCTTTATAAATGTAGCCTTTTCCACAGAGTAGTTCCACTGACTGACAGGAAGGCAGACAGGATCAGGCTCTACCTTTTATGCATTATCCATTAACTGTCTGGAGTAGTAAGCCTCCTAGTACAACACGAGAGTGAAAAACAAAGGCTCTCAGGGCCACACCATATCCTCCATGTCAGTGGTTCCCAATTTGTGTTACAGCAGGGGTAGGCAACGTTTTTTGGCCAGAGTGCTGAAAAACACCACAATGCCTACCTCAGAAGGTGCTGAGTGCCAGCGTGGCAGAAAAACAAAATGAGGGCAAGGGGTACATGGCAGGATGCCCTGCTTGCGGCCCTTGCCCCCCACCCAAAGCCACTGCCCCCCAGCCCTACTGCCCAGTGCTCCCCACCCAAACCCCTGCTCCACAGCCCTACTGCCCCTTGCCCCCCACCCAAAGCTGCCCCTGCCCCACAGCCCGGGCTCTGTGGCTGCTAGCAGCTACCCCAGCTCTGGGTAGTTGCTGGAGCCTGGGCTGCTCCCAGCAGGGCTTGCAGCATCCCAGCTTCCTGCTGGCAGCAGCGCCCCAGAGCCAGGGCTGGCTGCAGCCGGAAGGCTCCAAACAGCTGCGCCAGGCTCTGGCATCAGCTCTGCACCAGTGCATGCAGGCACGCCTTGGAGCAGGCGGGGCCTGAGGCAGTGCAACCCATCTCTCCCCCGCTCCCAGCACCGAGGTGATGAGCCCGGCATAGCTATTCGGAGCCAACCCAGGCTCTGGGCAGCTGCAGCAAGCAGGTTGCAAACAGCTCCACCAGGCTGCACAGCTCCGACATCAGCTCCGTGTAGTACTTAAGGCTGTATCATTTTAAATGGGTGGTGCGCAATCTGTCAGAGTTTGGAAATGGCTGTTCTATGCAGTTAAGCACTGGTGGTAGTGACGCTTCACTGTTACTGCATCTAAGGCTTAGTCTATACTAGAAAGTTTTGCTAGCAGCATTTCAGTTCTGTGGGCAAAACTCAGTGTACATCCACACTCAGCAGCACAATCAATCCACCACTGCTTAGGACAGAAAGGTTCCTGTGGCCACTTAGAAGTGCTGCTCCTGTGCCTTCAGCTGGCTGCTGTGATCCATTTAGCTGCCAATAACACTTCCTACCCCAGCAGCACAACATCAGAAGCCCAGTGGATGTGCACATGCTCCGGGAGCTGAGATTTAGGCATTGCTGTCTGCTGCCGGTTCTTCTGGCAAAGGAAGGTGGATACAGACATGGCTCCAGCCTTGTTACACCTCCAGCATGCTACATGCTGTGTGAGCAGACACCTGGAATTCACCCTTGGTGACACACTCTGAGGGCACAGGGGTGGAGGGCAGGAGGGAAGTACTGCAGAGTGAAAGGCAGGGTAGATAGGCACCTTTACAGATTAACTAAATAAGAGAGAGAGACGGAGGGACAGAGAGCGAGCGAGCATAGGAGCTTTCATGAACCCAAGTCACTAGCGCTGCAGAGCGACAGGCCTGAGGGGCTGGAAGCCACCACAACAGCATTGTTGTGCCTGACCCAAGTTAAAGTTTCTCCTATCTACTTCCTGCATTAAAAACCCCAACTCTGCAGCATTCCCTGCTCTGACAGAGCCACTTCATCACTCATTTTAGATCCCGAAATGCCTCCTACTGCTGCCAGGAAACGGGCGGAGAGAAGGTGACAGCAAGGCAACAGCCCAAAGAGTACAAAGAATCTGACTCCAACTGTGTGGTTGGTCCAATGAAAGACATCAGCCTAAGGAAGCCTTGCACCCGGCCCAAGAGGGAGCCTCACCTCAGGTACAGGCACTGCTCCAAACCAGCTCAGGCGCTGCGCCCTCCTAGCACAGAGGAACGTTTCACCCACCGCCCCGCCCCGCCGTTCAACAGCCTCATTTCATAAGAGAGTCTCCTGGGATAGTGACAGGGACGGGGAGATTGGAAACATGGCCCCAGTGCATCCTAAAAGTTTGGGTGCCACAAAGGAAACAAAAGTAGCCTACAAGTCCACCGAGCAAGAAACGCTTTAGGTTAGGAGGAAGCCGGCCGCGCCGCAGGGCCCTCGGCCCTAGCGACACAGGGCATGGGGGGAGGGGCGGGAGGGTTGTGGCTGCTCGGGGCAGTAAAGCCGGCGGCAGCGCAGCTCCTCCAGCCGCCGCAGGGTCTGCCCCCGAGCAGCGGCACCCACCTGCGGGAGCAGCCGGCGGGCACCATGTGGTGGGGCCGGGTCAGCAGCAGCGCGGCCCGGCTGCTTCCTGCCGCCTTCCCTGCCGGGCTCGCCCCGCCCCCCCGGCCCGTGCGGGAGGCTGCTGCAGCTGAGGC